CTCTCTTCTCTTTCTGTTTCTGGTGAACATATGTGTCCTCTGGCAATTAAAGAAAAAAAAAAAACAGTGCTCCTTATGTAATGGTTTGAGACCCATATAATTATTACAACAGTGACAGAGAAAGTGTGAAAAAGAAGTTAAATCATAGGTTAGTTAATAGAAACAACCTCCCCAAGTAAAATTTTACTTGTGTTTATATTTTATAAATAAAATATAATGCACATTGAAATTTTAGTAAAAATAATAAACTATTTTAAGTATGGATTTTACACAGTATAATAGGATAATGACCAAAAAATTGACAAAAATCTGGTAATGTCATCAATCACATTCATGATCTAAAAGAAAAGAATAATGTGATTATCTCAGTAGACGAAGAAATATTGATGATAAAGATTACCACTATTTACGTTAAAAATAAAAAACTTCATAAAACACAGTTTGGAAAGGATCAGAAATTTGTGTGGTAGCAAAGAATTGAAAATAACATTATGCAAATAATGAGCTACTCTATAAAAGCCAACCCAAGGAATCAAAATGTATATATAGCAAAATAGACAAGCAAGAAAGATAATTATACTTAAAGGCATTTAGTATGAAAATATTACAGGCACATAAATCATGTTTTTCAAGATCACATATAGAAACTAGAAGGTCTTAAGATAACTACATTAGAGAGGGCCCTATGGGTAAAACCAGAGTAACACTGAGAATAGGAGTTGAAGGAGGCAAGAAAGAAAAGAAACAAGTGAAAAAAGGAGCTCTGCCTAGACCAATAGTAATGTAATACCATAATATGACAAGCGTGATCAAAGAGATTCTTTACACTATTCCAAAACAAATAAATGTGAGAACGAAGTGACATATATCCAGTAACCAACATAGTTTCTAAAACATAACTTGCAAAAGGTTTTTGGTTTTAGACAAGGTGTGGAAGGAGTAGACAAAGTAGGGACATAGCATAGTCTCATACTACGGAGGCCTAAGCGCCTTTTTTAAAAATTAATTATTTATTTATTCATTTATTTTAATTTCCCCGGACACACACATACACACACACACACACACACACACAGAAAGTGAGAAAGCAAGCCACCAGGTCCAGGACTTGAACCATGGTTGACTATGTGGCAGTGTCCAATACCTTAACTACCACACCACTTCCTGGCCCCAACCTAACCTCGTATTCTACCACCTACCACTTCTGCAACCTCTCAAGAGAATCATGTAGTACACTGCCTCTTAGATTCCTTAGTCTGTAAAGCAGGACTGCCATATACCTCTCGGTTCTGTGCAGAATCAATGGCAGAATAGATTGAGTAGGAAAGAATGCAAATGTCCCACACACAGTTAAGTGTTTTAAGAAGTACTGTTCTGGGAAAAAAAAAAAAATACTGT